AAAAGTATATTACTTTTAATACCTGTAGGTTGTGCTGATTGGACCAATAGGTGGCACTCTGTTGACCAGAATTTCCAAGCCATTAGCAAATTAATATACTTTTGTGTAATTCTGGCACCAAATTCTTAAAAAAATCAAAATTCTACAATGATAAAATGTATCTTTATTTTCCTGCGGCTGATGTATATAAAGTACTTTGACGCTGATGTGTTCATTTTCTGCCATTTTTTAAGCTTTTCACCTAAGTTTTCACTATTGATATGTTTTTCTCCCATGTAACTCCCTTAAATTCTATACTTTTACATTTTAAAAATATTTTTTTTTGCTTCTTGCTATATGAGTTTTCATTCATTGTGCATTTTTTGATAAACTGGCTTAAACAAATTTTTTATTAATTTTTCCATTAATTGTAAGAAAGGATCCTAAAATTAAACATATTTCTGGCAGGCTATTGAAAATGAGGTGGAAGCCAGATTTTGTTACCATAGCTTGTTCAATCTTGTAGGATTGTAATAAAAGATTATACAGAACAAAACAGACACCTACATAAGTGTCTTTTCACACATCCCAGATTACTACTGAAAATTGTGCTGCATTATTATGCTGTTTGCATTTTACTAAAAACATAAGATAGGTTAGAACCTAATCTGAGAGACCATAAATGTAATACAAAATTGAAGTTAACCAATTTAACGAGATGATATATAAATCATATATACTGTAAAAAATCACATATGTAGGCAAAGCATGTTTGCTTTTGTAGGGATGCAAGGAGTCACAGTGCAGTCCAGGGAAGATTTGAGATGAGTTTAAAAATGACGAGAATGGAGAACACTGAAAGAGATGCACACAAAGTGTGATACAAGTAAAGGTTAATTCCATACTAAAAAGTAGAAAGAACACAACCTTTCAGCTTCATGTGTGAAGACAACTCAACAACTGAAACATTGTACTTCTAGTAACCAGTTTTGTTGTATCCAATGATGTGCAGGATGTGTAAGGATTTGATTACAACAAATTTAATAAACATCCTCAGGGTACATCCCCTCTCTGAATACAATGATTACCTGAAGATAGCAAAGGACGAGAAAATTGAAGGAATAGAGACAAAATGGGAACATGCCTCAGCAGTTGTCTTGCTGACTAAAAATAAATAACTTTCAAAGGAATTAAAAGCTCAGAAAGTTCATTCAATATTGAGTGTTAAAGACCCTGGATTCCACCTGCTTCATTGAAAGTCTGGAGCCTCGTTACACCTTGCAATGCAATAGGGTTTTGCACGACCAGAACTTGTTTTATTATTCTGACTACCACCACTAAAGAATACCCCCAACATTTTTTGGATCTTTTCTTTTCTTTTTTCCATCTTGGTCTGCATTGCTCGTGAATGTATTTGTGGTCCAGTTTGAGGCCAGATGCTTCTTTTGTTAAGTGGCTAATCTGTTAATGCAGAATGTGTGCAACAACTTTGCTGTAATTTTATGCTGGTCTTTTCTGTGGTGAACTCAAAAATGATGCTTGCATGTAAACAGTTTCTACTACAATGTAAAGAAACATAAAAATTTACTGCAGTATGTTCTTTTGAGGAGACATTGATACTAAATATTTTTCAACTTTATGATATTAGATTTTGTATTCAGGGGCTGAACTAAATATACCAACTACCTGCAATTACAAATAATCATCATCGTTGGCATCATTATCAGCTGATATATTTGGGTAATCATACGATATTGGTATCTGCCAAGAAAATCTTGATCAGTGCACCCCTTATCTATAGACACGTGTCATCTAATTCTGCTTTGAGTGACGCAACTTCAGATTTTTTAAGATCTACATGATCGGCAGGATTTTTGTATCCACAGTTGAAATTTCTCATGTCCCCAGATTTTAAAGTTCTTCAATGATAAAGACAGTTGTATCTAGCCATGATGAGTTTGTGCTAGGCCTTGTTCTGCTTGGTCAGCACTTCTTTTCTCTGACATCACAGATTTCTTCGTTGCCACATTATCTCTAATCAGATAGTAAGCAGTAAGCTCCTTCGCTCAGTCAAAGTCGATTACTGTAAGGCTCCTAAGATGCCAGCACATGTGACCTACTGCCCATGACCCCCTTTCCAAACCTGTATGGTCCCCTCTTAGGGATCTACACTTTTGCATCATCGTTGTTTTTTTTCTACCAGACGCCTCCTACTCTTCCTAGGCTCTGCTCAAATATTAAATATACAGGAAATGTACATTATTATCAGAAAAGGTCAGATGGTGCTGAAAGACTTTGAGTTGAATTGCAGTTATTTTACATTGTACATGTTGATCAATTCTGCCTCAGGGTGGAGTGCACTGTAAATGAAACAACTGACTTAATGCCAAAATATCTTAAAGAGTCTGAGTGAAAATGTTCATGGTCTCTGCAAGTGTCAGGCTTTGCAGTAAATACAGTATTTACCTTCTTATATGTTTGGGTTTTGTGTAATTTTGGAGACGTAATTTTTTTAGCTTGCATCTAAAAAAATAATATAAATATAACTTTGAAAACTAGATTTTACTAGTGCATTGTACAATTTTAATATAAATAATACGTTTAACAATGATTTCAATTCAAGGTATTCAACTACATATTCTAACATTTTGTTTTTTATTACTTTATTATTCCCCACAATCAGCGGTTTGCAGCCTCTCAGCAGGGCATGATAAGAGTTAAGCTGTCCACTTACATGTATGGATCTGTGTGCCATTGTCACTGTTCTGATGTCATGTATAACCCTACTTACATTTTGACCCATTAAAATGATGCAATATTAAAATATAATATTATAGAAGCAATGCTGATTATTAAAACAATAGAATTAAATGTTGCTGTGGATTTTCAGTGGCTCCCTCTCTGTGGTCTCAGCCATAGAATAGTCTATTGATCTTGGCATTTGGCATAGGTCTTCTTGAATTCTGTGTGAGTCACAGCATCTCGCAAGAACTACTTTTATATATGCCACGTATATAAAAGATGTCATGGAAAACACTGTTCATGGTATTGGATTATTCAGAGATTATTATTTTAAAAAGAGACAATGATTGATAGTCAAGTCGTCTTGAACGACTGTTTGATTTTTTTATAGAGCCATTATGTCAACAATTTTAAAGAAACTGAAACAAAGCCTACTCTTAGCTTGTGAATATAGCCTTGTCAGTGCAGCAAGTCAGTGACCAGTTTTGCAGTGCCATGTTTTGAGCTCATTGTATTTTCTATTTTGCTGCAGTGTCAAACAAATGCTGAGCTGAAGGAAACCTTTGCCAGCTTTAAGATTGCACAGTCTTATATCAGTAAAAGCCACATATACACATTTTTCAGTAATTTCTTTGTTACAGTAAAAGTGATTATAATAAATTCCCTGGAAGTGTTTCTCAGCACCAGCAACTATACCAAAAACCTTAATGCTGTTTTCTTTTGGACTGTTTATTAAACTGAATCCTCAGATTCTGGATCAGCCATTCTGTACTGACAGCACGTTTATATAACAGTGACAGTGCATGTAATTTCCATGAAAAGGCTACTCTTGGTATGATGACAGGAAATTTAGTGTTTTCCTGCAAATTGCCAAAGAAAAAATGTTTTTTGTTTGCCCACCCATTCCTACTGCAACAATGTGCATTTTGTTGTAAAAATGTTGCCACTTCTATGGCAACTGGTCCCAGTCACCCTTCAGGGCTCTAGTTCAGCAATTAATACACTTTTTCATGAAAATGCAGGCATTTGTTTACCCGTGATATCATTGCTGTTTCAAATACTGCAGCATAAGAAAATGCTTAAAACATTTTTGCTGTCCAACTCAATTTTCTAAAATGAAAAAAATGAAAATGAGATTTCTGATAAGAGCAGCACAATAGCTTTCTTTACATGCTTGTCAAAACTAATCAGAGTACCAGTGTTGCTATTGCATGAGGAAAATGTAATCAGAAATAATCATTCATTTTGCAAAACTCCGCCAGTCCTTCAGGGTGGCTGGAACCCTCCCAAATCTCCCCACTGGCTAGAGGATCTGCATCTTCACCAGGAAGGCAGAGCACAGACAGGCTTGCCTTGTATACTTCTGCTACCCAGCATGCCAAAACCAGGCTAGGTTCTGGCGAGGTCTGGCAATAGAGGTCATTATCAGAAGTAGTACGATACTTGTGAGTAACCTCAATGTCCTGGAGGACGCTCCGTTAATAACCAGCATGTATTTTATTCATTAAGAATATTAGAAAACATAAAAAGATGAGATGGAGTCATGTCATTTTTGCCCTATTTCCCCACCTAGATTGATCACAGAATGTCAGGTTATATTCTAAAGGACAATCACTTCCCCTTTCAGACCCATGTTTGATAGTATATTAAATAAGTAAACTGTATTTTACTTGCTCAGCAATCTCCAATAAGTGCTCTCTGTTATATATATTTGTCAGGACACTGTATATCATAGATATATTGCCTGACAAGTCACTGGTAAGTGTTAAGTCAAGGACTCCAGTCCACAAAATCTCGCACCACCACTGGCGCACTGAAAATGACATAGCCCATTCATGTACTGGAGATGCCCTGCCTGTAGGGCTCAATCTGTGGACCGAATGAGGACCTGTCCCGCTTATTTTTCCACATTTGTTCGAATTCACATTTAAATGTTAAAAAGGTAGATTTAAAAATATCGTCAGCGTTTTTAATGAATTGAAAAAGTGAAAAAAATCACCCCAAACAGTGCTTTTTGAAGGTCCCTTTAATTTTAAAGCGCCAGACATGAATGAGATTTCTTATGTGTATACAGTACAGTATGTTAAAATGTTCAGGCAGTAACCGAAGTGCGTATACCAATGCTATTTAGAACTATCTCTACCCTTTTAAAATGATTTTATATCTTACATATAAAAGACATGTTTAACATTTATACTGTACTACTCTTCAATTCACAGCTCACTGCTTTCTCCGGTTATTGATGCTGATTATCATGTGCCATGTTTGTGTCTTCACAGGAAGAATGCTTTCTGAACCTCGAAGCCCCTATTACCAGAGTGTGTGGATATGACACGCCCTTTCCTCACATTTTTGAGCCCTTCTATATACCTGACAAATGGAAATGTTTTGATGCTGTTAAGAAAATGATAAACTACTAATGAAAGGTATTTTCATCTAAAATAATATCTGGTTGTTCTAAATGATTTTGTTTAAAATATTAGTATTTACTGGGTATTCACACATCATTGAATCTAAAAGTAAAACAATGCAGGCATTCTCTTTGTTGATAGTAAATGCTTTTACTAAAAATAGTAGTCTTTTTCTGCTTCGTGAGAAAGGATGAAGAGTCCAGTGTCACTAAGCAATCTAGATGCTTGATGAGCTGAGAAGAAAAAACAAAAGTGCTTGATAAGTTGCTGTTGGTTGATTGTTTGGTATAAATGACTCTCCGAATCAATACAATAAAGAGTGTAAGTGTAGGAAGTGGAACAGCAATGTTTAATAATTTATGTAAAAACGATCTGTACAATATTATTTCTCTAACATTGTCTTTTACTTTAGCCTGATGTCATTGCTTTATTATACGGTACTTGAAAGACATGTTTCAATAAGTTAAATCGTGATATCAGTTCCCTAAGTCTATTTTTCCCATAAGATCTTAACCCCCATGGTAGGTAAACTTTTCAGTAATGTAACACTTTATGATTGGCAAAGGATTACTGAAGGTTTTCCTTTGCAGCCAGCACTCTCTGATGCAGCTCCCTACTCTGAACTCTTTACAGTACTGTAATGTCACCTGCTTCTCTTTTAGGGCTCTGAGGACACTGAAGGAAAGCTTCGACACATTTTGTTCTGGTAATTAATTTCATCAAGGAACTCATCTACATACTGACAGATATAGTCCATCTCTCATCTCAAGGGATCTTACAGAGTTGTATGGAAGAGCTGGCAGACTGGCCAAGATACCAAGAAACCACCAGACAGGATGAGCGTGGACTTTCATTATCACTACACTGCATCAGATGAAACATAAGCTCTTTCGGAAGCATTCTTTATGAAGTCTGTAGAATTGGTAAATTAGAATTTATTTTGTTGATTTGTAAGTGGCTGTATGAACAATGGATATGCAGGAGAATTTGAATTGAATAAAATGCTCAAACTTTGAAATTTAAATTGTGTTATTTGTTCTACATACTGTATGTAAAGACAGTAAAACCTTAATACATTTTCAATAGTTTTAATGTATCATTGGCATATATTATATGGGACAGGAGAATCATGTATTTCTCAATGCCTAAAAATAAAGTAGTAAAACTTATAAACTGCTTTTTCCTTTTACTAATGTACAGTAGCCTCATAATTTCTTCACTTCAGCACCATCTGTGAAGTTCAATCTGATAATCCCTACTGACTGAAGAGGAACGAGTTGCTGAAACTAGACCAGGATCAAATGCCGCATTTTTGCTTGGCTCGCTACCTTGATTTATGGTAAATGCAAATAAACACAGTATTTTCTCTCAAGTTGCTTTACTTACTACTAAGTAATTAGTATAACACTTTGAACTTAACACAAGCATTGTATATTGGTCATTGCCTGTTGATCTCCTACAAAATCTCATCTTCATCAGTAGAGGGTCAGTCAGTAGTGATTTCAACATAGCTCAAGCAAATGACAGTGCAGGACTCGCCCAACCTTGTACAATGCAATCGCCAACCCAGCCACAGAGATATTTGGATCCTGGGATTAAAGTAACCACACAATATTCTGTTTCTCATACTATTTGTCTTTTTCCATATGGTATTTTTTCAAATAAATTTACCATTTGTTTTTAAAAGGTCATCTGCTTTAGGTTTGAAATCTGGCAGTCCTTCTTAATATGCATTTTATAGATGAAAGAGAAAGAACAACTTGTCAATACTGTGTACACTTGATGTGAGGATGCTATATCTTGTAATAGGACTTCTCATTGCAATATTCAAGTTATGCAGAAGGCTTTCACAAAAGACTAATTGAAAAAGATCCTTTGTAATAGCTTGAAAGTGTTGTGAGAAACTGAAAACCGTTCTTGAAAGAGGGAGTGCTAGTTCCAGAGACTTGTTTTTCTAATTAATACTGATAAACAGGAAAATGTTGGTAAATTGACCCCAAGCAAATTTGTCAGAATGCCAAGCCAAACAGAAACCCAAAGCACAGGATGTGTGGTGTCACAGTGAATGAGCTTGAAGCTACTGTGTAAAAGAGATGAGCAGTAGTCTTAATCTACTGAAAAATGTCCTAGAGACATCCAACCTTAATGTTCTGAGTTAAATCCTGTAATTATTGTAGATTCACATAATTTGTTTTGCTTTGTGTTCAATTTAAAAGGAAAGTTTAGTTGAATTAAAATATGTGCTATGTATTTGTATGTAGTTGATTTCCAACCAAATGGCCTTGTCTCATTTGTAACCTTTCTTGTCTAATCGTCTCAACATTTTAATCAGTAATGTTAACACGATTGAGTTTATTGAATGGTATTGTTCCTTGGCATACAAATCACTGAGCTCAAGCCTTATAATTTCACAAACAACCCGTGTGCATTAGCATGTGCAAATAACCATTCAAAATGACCATTTTAATTAACAGAAAAACTGTGAAAGCTACTGTAAGACCCTGACCTTTTTGAGTAATGAAGATGGCCTGGTTGAAAATGGCCTGTTTGTAAGAGACGCTTTCAAATAATGAGATGTTCTACTTATACAACTAGCTGACTAGTCCGGAGAAACAAGCATATGAACTCTGAGAGGGACAGGTCACCCCCCTGAATGGCAGAAGGCCACCATACCAACACACCAGCACCACCAACACCAGCAGTCCATCCCAACCTGATCAGGTCCACGCGTCAAGATTGCCACTCACAGATTGTGATAATGCTCAGGGAGGTCAGGTCACATATATCTGACCCATCTGTCTAATTGTTTTCATACTAGTGCCTGCAGCACAAGAAATTCTATCAAAGAAATACCATTCACATCTGATGATTGACTGTTGTTCACTGTGAGCTTGTAAATAAAAATAATCTACAGTCTTGGTAGCTATTGACAGGAAAGAAATGAAACTGCTGTTTCTGTTGTCCAGAAAACATCAGAAGCAGTGGCAAAGAGAGAAGTGAAGTGTATTATTCACCAGTGAGTGCCATTTATCCTTGTCAGACCTGATGTGTGTGTGTGTTATTATTGCATATTCTGCTCACTGCTGACTGAGTTGGTGGGAGTATGATAACGTGAAAAGGAATCTCCATTAAAGACAACCTTAGGTGCAGGTTGAGGGTGAATTTGCCATTCAGTGGTTTATTGGCAAGTTAAGACATCCATAAAAAATTGCAAAGTGATGAGTGACCAAAGTGACCAATGATGAGACTTCACAGAACTGGGATTGCACTAGTTTCTTGAGTGACCTCAAGAAAATATTGCCTTGAATAGGTCCATGAGACCACCTCATCCATGCCAACACCCTAGGGAAACCTTGGCCACACAAAGGTTGCCAGCTGGCTGCAGCGACACAAGAAGATTGAAGGAGCATCCCGCAGCAGTCCATCCCAACCTGATCAGGCCCACGCGTCAACATTGCCACTCACAGATTGTGATAGTGCTCTGGGAGGTCCGATTCCAATAGAACGCACTGTGCAGTGTTTTCTATTTTGACAGTTCATTACATTTCATGCAAAAAACACATCACAATTCCTTGACCTGTATTTTTGTTCACGTTGTATTTGATTTTTAAATCTATGTTTAAAGTGTCTGACGAAATCCACTCAATCTGAGTGGTTTCTTCTGTGCATCAGTATATATTGACACAGTTCGGACACAATGAGAGCTACTGTAAAGTTACTGTAGTCTAATTATTATTTGACATCTATGAAACTTGCACATTTCAAATGACAATCTTGTAAGGTATAAGGGGCTCGTGTGCGATTAGCTCCTACACTGCTGCCAATGGGACTAAGAAAGCAAATTTATTTGTATTCCATTTGGCTTAAAGTTCAGGATCGTGTTCTGGCTTGAATTGGTATCGTGGCAACAAGCCTGTCATACAGATTATGAATTTTTCCATATACAGCAGTTTGTGTCAGAATAATTTAATGTCTTTCTGTCCTGATCAAATAAGCCTGGACTATTGAACCTGTTATTTTTTGCAGTCTGATTAATTACCAAGTCAAAACATAGCCACAGTGACAATCAGTAGATTATGACAAATGTCGGATTGTTGCCAAAAAAGAAAATCATAAAAATAAAGCAATGAAGTTGCAGTGTTGTAAATATTATGAGTCCACTTTTATTCTGAAACCTAAAAAAGTCCCTTTTCTCCTCCGCTTTTTGCCAATATCTAATACATATTTTCCTATTTTCTGATGTTTTCTTTTGAAATGTTTTCAAGAGTATATTAACAAAATATAACTTCAAATATGATGTTATCATTACAGTTAGCCAGGAAGGTTTAGCCCCATTTAGATCTTCTGGCAAATTAAAGGGTTACTTTATTAGATGCTTTGTTTTTGAAAAAAGTACAATTAACATTTAGTTGTTATGTTCCCAATTCTTCTGCAGTATGTAATTTGTATGTAAATTGGATTTTAATTTGCATAAGCCCATAAAACAAAAGCAGTTGTGGTGTCTGAAATGTAATTCGGTAATTTAAAACATCAGTAAATAGTACAATACTTAACGCACTTCTAGAATTGTAATTGTAAACAGAAGAAGAAAACTTCCACTTGCTGTACATCTTTGGAATTATTATGGACGTTTTAAAAAAAACTGCCAAATTACAACAGCATCAAAGAAACATTAGGCACAATATGTTACACAATACTATTAGGATGGCCAGGCAGCAGTTACTGTTTTAATCTAACTTTTTTAGTAATTTAATTCTGTGAAAAAATCTTGTTTACATTTTCCATTTTACAAACCTGTATTCTTTTTAAAAAATTAACTTTAGGTGACCTGCACTTAGGAATTTCTAAGTATATTTAAATTTGAAAATAACCATGGCTTAGTAAACATACTTTGTTTCAAACAGACTGCACAGAACATTCTTTCAGTATTGTCTGCATTTAATGAACCATTTGGTGTTCATTCAACTTTTCGGAATTGCACATGAGCCCGAAATAGCTCTAAAATCAGTTCCTTAAGGGGGCATTTAACCTTGTTTTCCAAAAAATAATCTTTGTAAGTACATTTCTAGAATGGAAATATTGTACATTGTGAAACAAAAATATTTTTTTTTTGTTAAAAAGGGCTACATTAAAAAAAAGGCCCGAAAATGTGATGCTAGAGGATTAAAAGACATATAGTGAAGAACCAGATTAATTTGGGGATCACTAGAGGACATCTTGAGGCCTCCTCAATGGCTCGGCCAGTAAAGGCTGAGATCAATGATTCAGGCATCGCAGCCTCAAGCCTGGATCCTGTCACTAGCTGGACGGTTTGTCCAGGATTTATCAAGCAGTGCTGTACAGATGGCTGAGAACTGCGGAAGGTGAGGTGGGATTAGTCAGCCAGGGCCCCCCTCGGCTCTCTGGTGCTTGCAGTCATGTGGAGCTGACGAGGAGTGAGCTTCTCCTTCAGTCAGTGCTGCACCTCCAGTACAGCTAGGACAGGGGTGGCAATAGTTAATGGAGCTTGTTTTTCTAAAACACTGGAGTGCGTCAGTTCTCACCAATTCACCCTGTTCATTTCTCAGCCTGTGGGTGCACACGCAGGTCGTGGAATGGAGGGGAAAAAAGGTAGAGAACACTATTTTTATAGAAACTGTACTAAGGAAACAAGGCATAGTGTAGAATGCCACTAGCTTACCTCTTAACAGCACCACATGAGAGGAGAAGCCAGTGCCTATTTGTTTGGATGGGTCCTCAGAAAGGTCAAAAGGTTGCAAACATATAGGAGACTGGTTATATGCCTGAAAGCTTAGCTAGAGGATCATACCATTGCTGGAATGCTGAGAGGGGAGGATATCAGAACCTAATGTTATTACTAAAAATGGCAACCAGGTATAGAAGATCTAATTAATGTCTGTTCTGTGTTTTGGTAAGGGTTTGATGTATTTGGGTGTCCAAGTAATCCAGACTACTGTGCTATGTGTTGTTTGTCTTGGGATTTTTATATTTTACAGGTATTGTATCCATAATGGTACAGCCCAAACCCTATTTAAAGGGTGTTGTGAGTAATAGGGTCAGGGGTCTAGAAATAAGAGCAGGTGTGTGTGATAGTATACAAAGTTTGTTCTTTTTCATACCTGGTGAAGAAACCCCAGTGAGTGCTTGTGTGGCCAGCTGCATGCAAAAT